TCACTTCTTATAGAGCTGGTATGTGAACAGTCACTCTGGCTCTCAGCTACTAAGGCATCAGATGATCATCGTCACATTAGGCTATTCCTCCACTTTTGTTACTGCCTTGCGGAGAGTTTATGCGGCAACATGAGCTGAGTTCAACATTAGTGCTATTACGGAATAGAGCTTTTTTTGCGTTAGGCCTTTCCTTTTTCTTGTAGATCTTTATAGTCTGTTTATGCCAACTACATGTCTTTTTGCATATCTCGCACTGAGTACAATCTTCAGAACAGTCAATTTTTTTAAGTACATGATTGCTTAATTTTTTATTTGTTAGAAGGATCATTTTCTTCGCGAGGAATATCTCTTGTGGGCCATTGAATCCGATATGTCTGATGCGTTTTTGCGTCTTCTCTCTGATGTAAGCGTCGTTCCCATCATTCTTCTTTAAGTTTATAATTTTACTTCTTTCGATAAATATTTGGTCTTTGTTCTTCTTGTTTAGGTCTGCCATGTCCTTTTTGGCCTTCAGCCCACGAGTGCTGGTCAGGAAAGGGAAATTGTTCTGTAAGTTTCACTTCTTAAGAGGCCTCTTCAATGCCATGAGTACATTAAGTTATCTTGTTTCAGCTAATCACACTTTTTATTCCTCTTACGCTTTGTGTTTGTTTTAAATATCCCTATCCAAATTCATTTTCACACCTACTAGTATAGCAAAAACAGTTTGTTTTAGGAAAGTATGCAAACTAAGTCAATGCTCATTAAGACAAGTCATCGAACCTTAGACTACTTACTAAGCTGTCCATGCAAGCTGTCATAATTTGATAATTCACTTATCAGTGAAATGCTTAAGCAAAAATGTAGTCACTATAGGCCGCTCAAATTGGTGAATGACTGATATTGCATTTTTCCATAATACTATAAATAGGCTTTACCTAAAAGGTACTCTTATCCAGGTTTGACCGCAGTTTTGACCCTGTCTGTGTCTCATCAGCAGCCTCAGTGGGAATCGAATCAGAAACATCAGCATTACGTTACACTTCTATGCGTGCTTGCGGGTCACAGGGAAAATGCCATTTAAATTGGTTATTCGTATGAACTTTTGGGATTTTGACTTAGCCCTCGCTGACAATAAACCTCTAAAGTTAGAAATGCATTCGAGAGGTCTGGAAGTTTGGCCTTATATTTAAAATCATCCTACCCACCTCAGATCCTGAGGATAATGGCGGAGAGTAGAGGAGACAATAAAAAAGCCTACTTTTGATAAGTCAAATGCATTGTGTTGAGTCTGATGCCATTTATACGGCAGAATGGGATTAAATATATGAGCTTTTAGAGTGTGTAATTCGGTTTTTACGGCTTAATTGCCACAGTTATGGTGAACATAAGTTGAGTATTAAAATTATGACAAACTTTTGCTGGGTATTTTATGATGGCGTCTTTTACAGATAATCTATCTACTTTATAAAATTATCATATTCTAGTATGGTAACGCTTTACAATGTAAGTGAGATCCGCAAACTGGGCTTTCATTATCGTTTAGCAAACATCAACATTGTATTTTCTTTTGTACTCCCATCTTTCTTATCTTTATAATTGCTTTTATAAATAACCGCTTCGCTTCAGTTTCACATTTCTTTATGCCCCTCCCACATCATTGTACCACATTACTAACACTTGGATCACTTTAATACTTCGCCTGGCTTCACCCTTGTCTCTGTCTTCTGGTTTGCTCAGAGGTTGGTTGGCACGCGAAAAGCTACGTATCTGCCGATCGGGGTCCCGTGTTTTTCTCCTCAGTCTTTCCTGGTGGCAGCAATGGCTTGATTATACTGGCTCTGAGGTAAATCGAAGCTGCTCTCCAGTGATGCTGATGCATGTTATCATTTGCGCAATGACTTTTCCATACTCATTAATTCTACGAAATGGTAGTGAAAACTTGGTTTGAAGGGAAACTAGCCTTAGTTAAGAATTGCTTAGCAAGGATGTGCCAACCGCAATTTACAACTCTATGTCGAGACTCACTTTTGATATCCTGCTTGAACCAATAGTATAGATTTACGTTAATGTAGCTTTCATTTAGCTAGAAAAGGTGAGTCGAAGGAAAGTTGGCCTCACCAAAAGCTGAATGTAGCTGTGACGGTAGATTTGTGCGAATAAGCCCTTGGCTCATCGTCTCGCGACCAAGATGGATCCCTGCATAGCTTTCGTTTGTCATATGACGGACATCTTCATAACAGGACACCATGCTTTACCATAATTTATCAAACATGTCCATCACATGACGGACGAAAGCTTAGCAAGGATCCCTTGGGTTCATTGGACGATTAGTCGAGGCAACCCCCCTTCCACTTCCGGCGGCACCAACTTACGCATCCCTTCCACTCGCCTCTTCAAAAGAAATGAAAGGTATTCCAACTCCACTCTATTAAAGGATTCTTCGAAAACCAGTTTTTCTACAAATTTAAAATAGATTTACTCTCACCTTGACTGGAACCAAGTCCCTCAACCGAAGCCTTGATGGTTGCCAATTTTTATTGGCAACTACACCAATCGGAAGCCCACTTTCACATCCATCTAATTATTTAGTTGCACGAACTCCAAACTGACTTGATCTCTACACAGAACCATCGCACTCAGAACGACGATGTCTGCTGGCGCGCTGCTCTCGTGTTGAAGTCTGCAGATTATTTGAGACACATTACTTTGCTACGAATAAATCACGGGGCGTTATACATCACCAAACTCTTATTGCTCACTTATTCTTACTGGGATCCCACATAAAGTTTGGCTTTAGGGTCGTATTTATCGTCAACCTAATCTATTAACCCTACATGACTCCATTAGAGGTTCGCCTAATTCATAAAGCACTCTTGGTTCTTACGCTACTGGCCAAATATATGGACGGATACTTTACTTTCTGGCAAGACACCAAGGGGTCTAGATGAATTTAATGAGTAATTATTTATTTTTATTTGGTTAAGAGGACATCCTTTTTATGTGTTTTTGTCTTAGCGTCCCTACAACTGTGCTTAAGGGTCACTCTGAGCTTCATGAAGTATCATTTAAGTGCTTGCTTTTGTTGTTTTTAGCAGGACCAAAACTATATCTTTGAGCAACTGATTGCAATGCGATTTTCCCTGATATTTTTCAGTTATAGTCCTCACTCATTTTGTCGGCTTAATCATTCTCTACCCTCTTACACTCCTTCACATTTTTTACTTTAATTAATCTTAAACTAACAGATAGTTGTCCTCCAGTTCATGTTTTTTCTAACCTGTATTTAAGAGGTTTTATAGTATTTCTTTACCTCTATATTGGGATTAGCTTGATCTAAACGGCATCTTAATCCTAATTCGCAGCGCTCATTCATCACAAGGGATTACTGAGGAAAACTTTTCTTTCCACCTATATGAGAGCCTCTTTCTTTAAATAGTCGCATACCATTAACCGACCAAGGCCTTTTATTTTCCATACTGGGTGTTACAGTTTATTTGCAACCGGGCCTCGATATTGTAAACTTGCATGCTGTACTTTTTTTGACCTATCAAACCTTAACCGATTTGGCTAGACAAAGACTGAGAATGCAAATTGAAATTAATCAGTTAAATGAACTAGTAGTTTACTTGAAACCTGGCAATACACTACTACTGAACACAATATATTCGTTAGTTTGACCTGATTACCCTCAGTATTTACCATGGGGTCATGATAAATATGACACAATAGATTAAAGAACTCCAGGTTCTCTATTTAGGCATATAAATAGCTTCGCATTATGCTCGAACTTAGCGTTTCCTGTTTCCCTGACCCCTTCAGGCAGTTCTAGCTTCAGGATTAATATTTTTCTACCTAGGATTTTAGGGTAATTACAATCTATCTACCTTTCTTTCGCGATGTCCTCTCTATTTCCCCCTTAGCATGGACCTATTCCTAACGCATGCACACAATACGATCGAGTTCGACATGCCTGGCAGACTCAATCAGGCACCGTTTATCCCAGTGATTCTCAGAGTTCAATCTACAACACTTCTTCAACAGTACAGTCTCTTATGCCGAGACACACGAGTCTCACCACACCACTTAGCTGGCGAGGCGTTGATTGCAGTTCATTAACAGAGATTGGCGACGATGGTATCGATGCTAGGGAAGGCGTCAGCGATAGAAAATATCAAACCAGCTCTGAAGCTAGCCGGACTGACTGGACAGCGTTCACCTCGCATAGTCGACCTAACCAGACCTTCATTGGACAAACCCAAGCTGCTGGACTAAATTACCGATGCAAGAGAGATGGAAATGAGATGCAGAGACAAGATCATGACTGTCTTTACTTAGAGAACCCTGCTGGACCACCTACCCGACCTGGTTGCTTACACTTTTCTGATCTATTGGCATCGCTACAATCCACCCCTACAGCCTGTTCTGTAAGTTCTGACTTTATTTATGAATGATCCTACGCCTGTGAAGCAATCATGTATTTCTGGATTAATATAAAATTGTGGATTATTTTCATCACCTTGATAATAAGCTTTTCTTTTTCTTGTCCCTGCGTAATCTGGTTGAAATATTCCTAAAATTATGTTTAAACTACTGGTTTTAAATAATTTGTCAATTGGTATTACCGGAAACGCAAGGATGATTGCCTTGGAATGGAGTGATGACTTATATATTGCGCAGAAAAGTCCTCGATTCACCGTTTTGCCACTATGATGAACCCATGCTAGGTTTTATTTTGTCATGTAACAGGCATCGCAAAACACGTAAACATGCTTTATGAAATAGCCCAGCATTTGTTTGAATCAAGAGTCAAGGTTACCGGCTACAAGGCCACTCATTTCTTATACCTAATTTTGCGATCCTAATGTGCCCTCACATGACAGCACAATTAAGTATAAGTAGTGAGTAGGCCTGTAGCCGGATACCACTCTTATATAATGCTCTATTTTGTAAATTATGATTTCTTGAATTAACGGCGTGTCACATGACAGACGATAGCTTATCAAGGGTTCATTGAAGTCTCAGAACGGTGAGTAGAGGAGTTCCTCGCATAATCCAAACAGTATAATCATATTTCGGTTTCCAGAACTGCCGATTTTCGAATTCATTCGAACTAACTATTCCTTAGAAATGGAAAGTCGAGTCCCAGAAACAGAAACGAACTGACTAATAGGTCTGAAAACGGACATATAAGCAGAAATATACACGCAAAAGTGGACGGGGTTATGCGGTCAAAATTATATATATATATATATATGTACACACAGATATGCTGACAGATAGACAGTTAAGACAATAAACAAAGAAAGTGAGGTATAGTCAGTGAGAGATCATTTGTTGGCCCTATTCAAGCCAGCACCTAGACCGAAAGTTTACTAGCTTAGTCATTCTTTGATAAAATTGGGTTTAATCTATTTGCTTACAAATATTTTTGACTTATTTACATATAATTTATGTCGTGATTGGTTTAGTAATATCCTGGCTCCTGCATGCCCCTAATTCAGTTTTATTTCCATTAAGAGCCATAATTTTCATATTTTTTACTCGTACTGATAGCAACTCTAGGGCCCCTAAATTGAAGAGAAAGCTTAATTTTGCTTTGAATTTGGGTGGTGCTGATGAGACCAAGGTGAGGAATTTCGGATAGGCATATTTTATTTCAATCCGAAATCATGCCTTTATTTCTGCCTATTAGCTCTCATACCATCATTCGAATGTCAATTTAAATCCTATCAAACTCCTTTATAATTAGTATTTATCTTAAGAACCTTCGCAATGCATACTATATTCCCTTATTATTTGCACTCTTGTTCCACTCTTTTGAATATATATGTGATCACTTGAGTATAAAAACACTTATTAGCTGGCACTTTTTTTCTCTAAAAGATGACGTAATTATTGTGATTCATGTTGGAGTACCTCTCATTTCGTTTGAAGAGGCGAGTGGAAGAGATTTGTAAGTTGGTTCCACTGGAAGCTACGAGGGTATTGCCTTGGAGCTGTGATTTTAGATTCGTGCAAATAGGTCCTTGGCGCACTGCCCTGCAACACCGATGAATCCTTATTAAGCTTTCGTCCGTCATTTGACGATAATTAACCAAGCACAAAGACAAGAAAGATGTCCGGCTGCAACCCTTCATACTTTTTATAGTTTGGCCAAATTAGGAGAGTTTTCCACATCTATATTTGGCTAATTTATTGTTGAGCCTTCTTATGTTTACATAATCTCAATGGTATTCTTATTCGGTTTCCTTAAACTTTGGTCAAATCCGACGGAACAAGATTATTCTCCTTCATCCTCTTCATTTAACTTATCCTATTGAATGAAACGCCTGTAGTGACCCAAGCCATTGCCTGTTAATACACATTAGGCAAATCGGTCAAACAGCGAACCACCTGCCCTTCAGCTTCCTTCATACTCTCAGTTGTAAGATAAAACCCAAGCTTGGCCTTCCAATTGTTATCTTGGTATCCTCCATAAGCAAACTGATATTTTCAAGTGACAATAGTTAAAGACACACCGTGTGTCCTCTCATTTACATTTCATTTCCTTTTTGAGCCAGCTGGAAAATAAGTCATGCACATTTTGTAATCTTCACAATTAAAGACAATCCACATCTGGGTAAATTTTGCTTCTTTTTCAAGCCCCTGCTTCAACTTCCCTTCTTGTGCTCAAATTCACATTACTTTGTCCAAACTCTCGCTGAGATTTACGCATCTTCCTCCTTTTCGCTAATGCGTCTGCACTAAAACTGATATAACGCTTCCTCTTTGACCAGGGATATTTCTTTGTGGCCGGTAGGTTTTCTAAGCAATATAGCTCTTAGCTTAGAAGAGACAGACGAGTCTTTCTCCGACTTGGTTTAATATATTCTTGATCTATTTTGTAAAGTATGGATACCTGCTCTGATTATGTCGGTCACAGTACGAAAGCTTAGCACAGTTTCATCGGGGTCGCAGAATTGTAAGCCGATGATTTCTTAGCACAATTCAACAGTCTTTTCTATGCGGCAATCCTTCTTCGGTTTCCGGTGAGGCCACTTCATGAATTCCTTCCAACCAACTTTTACTTCAAAACTGTAAGTCATGTCACAATATATCACTAAGGCGTCCCTCTAAACCCAGTTTTTCTTCATATCCTCGTCGCTTCTTCGCCCCGAACTTTCGCACCACGTTTCTATGCATTATCTTCGCTCACTTTTTACACGCAGCATCTTTACATGGTGCATACACGTTCAACCTACCCCCCACATCTTTGCTTAATAGCTTTGTCTATCTAGTTATATGACCGAATTTTTGATTCTTCCAGTTCCAGGGAATCCATCAGTGTCATATCTCAATAAAGAGCCACTATCCTGATAAGCATTTATACGTTTGTCTCCATTATTAATTTCAGAAATTTTGGTAATCGCCTCAGCTATATCAAATTTTCTGCGAAGAATACCAGATTTTTTAATATTCTGTTTGAGCATCACAGCAGACCTCGATAATTGACTAACATTCATGCATTATAGCTTCCTTACACTTTACATCTTCTAATCAAAAAGAGCTTTTCTATCACAGACCTTATAGTCATTCTTCTATCTAGGCCATTTTATTTGTACATTCATTTTCAAGTCCTTTGCAATAAATACTTAAAAGCGTGATCTGCGTTGTGTTTGCAGAGGTTAGCTCCTTCGAAAGGACTCATATTCAGAGGCAGCAGAAGGCTGGTTCTGTGGAAGACATTTTGACTGCGTTTTATTCGACATACTTATGTTTTGCTGTCAAGCTATTGGGTGTTTGACTTGCTTCACTTTAAATATTTAGATCTTCTGCATAAGAAATATAATGCAGGCTCATTTTTCATCCACTTTATTTGTAGCTCAGAAGCTTTGGAGGCAATATCAGGCTCCTTAGACTTTTTTAAACCTACATAGGCTCACCACCACTCCACAAGATCCGGGAAAGTTTTAACTTATTCATATCGCTTCAAAAAGCTAATTCGCACGCATTTAATTTTTCGTATGCCCACTATTCGGTGGAAAAATTGTGCTCCTATGAGACTGGTCATGCACATTCTAAATGGTGCTCCATTCAGAATAAATAATTTTGGAATGTTGAGACATCTACAGGCGTACTTGCTTTAATTTCCGGCTGAAGGGATCGGCTTATTCTTTCATTCAAGTGAATATTCCTAGGTTATCTGTTCTCTCTCTCTTATACATACACAAATCCTGCCGATAAACCATCGGTGACTCGTTTAACTTCTTGAAGTCGTTTCTTCCACTATTCTTATTCCCCGACCTTACTGTTAGTCGATTCTCTGATCTCTTATCTATTTTTGGCTGACCCTGCGTCCTCCAAAA